CCTGCCTCTGCCTCTGCCTCCCAAGTGCTGGGATTAAAGGTGTGTACCACCTACGCCCGGCTCCTCAGGAAGATTCTTAATAAAACTGGATTGTGTTGAAGACATCGAGCATTGCTCTCTGGACTGCACACACACATACCACACAAATGTCTAAGGCATGTTAGCTTCAGGATTATGAGGAAATTTTCCAGTCTCCCATCTGCTCTGTTAGGTACTGGAACACTACTCCCTTCATGGTCTCACATAGCTGTGACAACTCCAGAGAGCACACACATCTGCACCAACATCCAGTCTGGATTTTTTCAGAGGGAGGATCTCCTCCCCAAGTCCCATTCATATGCAGCTTCTCACTCACATCCCAGCAGTCAGGAGAACACAGGATGGTGGCTACCCGTGGTGCTTTGTCCTCATCTGGGACAGGGACATTCTCTGATGAAACTGGTGTATGGAAAAAGGGCAAGGGTCATCACTTACATGAGGGCATGCCCCCCCAACAGCTGCACCACCAAGTCCCACCACGTCACAGACGGTGGCTTCACAGAAGCTACACCCTAGAGCCTCTCAGTTAAGGTTCCCTGTCTGTATTCTTTAGCATCTCTCAAGATCACTTGAAGCTGGGGTTGCACTGGAAGGAGTAATGGCTGCAATCTTAGGAACCGGTCTTGTGATTTCCTTCTCCCATCTACCAGGAAGTACTGGTAGTTCATTACCATAGACCTGGCTATCACTGATTAGTAGCCATGGCTACTGGACGAATGTATCTGTTCTCCAAGATGGTATCATATAAGTGATTCAGAGAGAAAAAGCAAACACCGTACAATACAGTAGCTACTCTTGCTGAACCTTAACTGCCTAGAGCTCCTCAGAGAGGGGTGGGGTCTTCTGGGCTCCTCGTACACCAAGGTCTTTTTGGTTGTTTTATTTTTTGTATATTTTTGTTTTTGTTTTTGTTTTTTGCTTTTTTTTTTTGAGACAGGCTGTGGCTATGCAGCTCTGGCTACGGATCTCTGTGAGTTTGAGACCAGCCTGGTCTACAGAGCGAGTTCCAGCGCAGTCTCCAAAGCTACAAAGAAACCCTGTGTTGAAAAACAAAACAAAAAAAGAAGAAAAAAAAAAAAGATAGAAAGCAAAGAAAGACATGGAAGAGGATTCTGTCCCTAAATCCAATGGTCTTAAGAAGCAGGGCCACCAGGCTGGGCAGTGGTGGTGCATGCCTTTAATACCAGCACTCTGGAGGCAGAGGCAGGCGGATCTCCGTAAGTTCGAGACCATCCTGGTCTACAAGAGCTAGTTCCAGGACTACCTCCAAAACCACAGAGAAACCCTGTCTTGAAAAACCAAAAAAAAAAGAAGCAGGGCCACCTGTAAGGCCGGTGGTCCAGGCTGGGCATTCTAACTGCTTGGGAAACTGAGGCAAGGGGATTATGCAAGGACACCTGTGATACCTATGTCAGGGATGTAAATGAACTATCAAAGGGTTAAATGGAAACAGGAAGGAATCATGATTACAGTTAATGTTGCATAACCAGTTAGTTCAATGATTAATTAAAAATATAACCGACAATATTCCTGTATCTTACTAAATATGTGACTTATGAACACAATCAGATAAATGTTAAGTGAATTAGAAGGAAAGACAGAATGAAATTGTTATAAAAGAAGAGGAACCAGAGGGTGTAAGTAAGATGTACTTTCTTTTCTCTCCAAAAGTTAAGAGATAAATAAGTTCCATTGCTAAAGAGACTTGTAAAGATATAATCTAGGCTCAGCAGCTAAGAACACTTAATGTTCTCACAGTGGACCCAGGTTAGGTTCACAGTACCTATAACTCCAGTTCTAGGGTACCTGGTACCCAATACCTTCTTCCATCTTGTTTCTTCTTCTTCTTCTTCTTCTTCTTCTTCTTCTTCTTCTTCTGCTTCTTCTGCTTCGTCTTCTTCTTCTTCTTCTTTTCTTCGTCTTCTTCTTCTTCTTCTTCTTCTTCTGCTTCTTCTGCTTCGTCTTCTTCTTCTTCTTCTTTTCTTCTTCTTCTTCTTCTTCTTCTTTCTTCTTTCTTTCTTTCTTTCTTTCTTTCTTTCTTTCTTTTTCTTCTTTTCTTCCTCTGTGACGTGAGCTTGTAGGTTAAGATATCTTTATTCAAATAATACCGGCCAAGCGCAAGCCAGAGCGTACCCAGAGGCAGCAAGCTAGGGAGGCCAGAGAGAGCTCCCACGTGTCTCCAGCACCTTAAGACACCCCCCCAAAGCCTGAACATCCCCTGACCATGCCCTGACAGGCGTGATTAAGCACACCTGTAGCCAGCCCTTAGGAGGCGTGACAACACTGTCTCCCTACAACTCCTCCTCTTCTCTTCTATTTATGTGTGTAAGGGTGTGCCTGTTATCATTTATTTATACCGTGTGCATGTGTGGTGCACACAGAGGACAGAAGAAGGCACTGGATCTCCTAGAACTGGAGTTAAGGACAGCTTTGAGCTGCCATGGGAAACTGAACCTGGGTCCTCTGGAAGAGCAGCCAGTGCTCTTAACTGCTGAGCCATCTCTCCAGTTACTGAAACACTCTCTTTTGACCTCTAAGAGCACCAAGGCTGCACAGGGTGCACATACATACATACAGGCAACACACACACACACACACACACACACACACACACACACACACACACACACACAAAAAATATATAAAAGAAAAAAAAGAACCCAAAAACAAACCCAGTGATTTCCTGCTGGGTGTGTTTGCCTGCTTGATTTGGCACAGCTAAGCCCCTATGTACAGATTTTTGCTTTGTCAAAAGTACTATGGATCCTATGGCCATTTTCTTGTGACCCCAGACCAATTTCTAAAAATATCAAGACCCTGTCTCAAAATAAAAAGTAAAAGGACACCCGAAAGGCAGGCATGGTGATGTGTACCTGTAATCCCTGCACTCAGGAAGCTGAAGCAAGAGGATTGCCTTGAGTTGAGGCCAGTGGCAAGCACTATATATACTGTGAATTCCAGGACAGGCTGGGCGACAGAGTAAGGCACTGGGGGGGAGGGGGGAGAGCAGAGCAGAGCATTGGAGAAATGCCTACTTCTCTGTCTCTGACAACTCTGCCGCTGTGTCCCTAAGGGTCAAAGTCTCACCCAAAACAGAGCAAAGTGCTGCTCCTTTGAAGGTGGAGCCAAGCTGTGCACGGTTCCATTGGCCCCACCTCCCGGCCCGCAGAGCAGTCCATTTCTAACAGCCACCAGGGGCAGCTGCTCCCAGGCAGAAGACTGTACCCACAGCGGCTGTGGTGACATGGCGCTGCGATGGGGCATCGTGTCAGCTGGCTTAATCGCCCACGACTTTACCACCATGCTGTGCTCACTGCCTCCCTCGGAACACCAGGTGCGATTCTCGGGGGAGACCCGGAGTCTGAGGGTGGAGAGTCCCGAGGTCTGAGACAGGAGGCGGCTCTGAGAGGAGAAGGGGACTCTGAGGTGTGACTTGTTTTCAGCTTCCCCCTCTTCACCCGACTCTCCTAAACCTGGGGTGCTTGAGGGTTTAGGGAGTGTATCTTAGCTACTCGGAGGAGAAGCTGTTGTGCAGTCAGCAACTGGGCCCCCATTTTCCTTTTTTTGTTTGTTTGTTTATTTTGTTTTGCTTTTTCAAGACAGGGTTTCTCTGTGTAGCCTTGGCTGTTCTGGAACTCACTTTGTAGACCAGGCTAGCCTCACAGAGATCCACATACCTCTGCTTCCCAAGTGCTGGGATTAAAAAGGCGAGTGCCACCAACGCCTGGCTCATTTTCCTATTTATTCAGAGTTTTGCCATGTACCTAGGATGGCCTTGGACTCATTCTGTAGCCGGGCTGGCCTGAGCACAAGTCAGTCTGGCTTTCCCCGCCATCCACCCCCGCCTCCTTCAGACAGGAATGTCCTCCCTGTAACTTCAGCCTCTGCCATTGCTTGCCTCCCATCTACAATGGTCCCACCTCAACCCTTTGAATCTGACACCAGGTAGTAGCAGTGGCTGCAAGGGACCTGAACCGAGCAAAGGAGTTTGCCAAGAAACACAATATCCCCAAGGCATATGGCTCCTACAAGGAGCTAGCAAAGGACCCAGACGTGGGTGAGTAACCTCACAGTTGGAGGTGGGGGCAGAGGCCTGTACAGTCTCTTCTTGTGCTGTGGTAAACGTGTGATAACAAGTGCACCTGATGTCCTTTAATCCCAACACTCAGGAGGCAGGCCAATCTCTGGGTTCAAGGCCAACCTGGTCTGCAAGAGCAAGTTCCAAGACACCCCTTCCCCCCAAAAAAGCGGGTGCATGGGCTGGAGAGATGGCTCAGCGGTTAAGAGCACTGACTGTTCTTCCAGAGGTCCTGAGTTCAATTCCCAGCAACCACATGGTGGCTCACAACCACCTTGAATGAGATCTGGTACCCTCAGCTGGCATGCAGGCAAAAGACTGTATATATAATAAATAAAATTGTTAAAAAAAAAAAAAAAGCGGGTGCACTTCTAGGGAAATAGGGGTCTTTGGAAAGGCTTGGGTTCAGCTGGGGTAGGAGGCAGAGTTAATAGGAATGCACTTGGCCAGAGACTGGCTTAACAATATTAACTTGTGCTTAGATGCCAGGCCGATGGAGCTAAGGGGCAAGTTTTAAGTTTCTCAGGAGGCTCGGGACTCTGTTAAGAATTTGTTTGTTTTGCAGCACTGCGGTTGGAATCTCACCGTTTAGGCTCCACAGAGCTGCAGCCCAACATTTTGCTTTATTTTGAGAGGGTCTCACTATGTAGCCCCGGCTGGCCTAAAACTTAATAAGTAGATCAGGCTGGCCTCACACTCACTGAGCTCTGCCTGCCTTGGTTTGCAGTTTCTAAGTGCTGGGATTAAAGGCCCAGGCTACCATGCCTGGCCCATTGGATTTTTGAGACAGACCTCACTATGTAGTCCAGGCTGGTCTCAAAATGGCTATCCTCCTGCCTCCGCCTCCCTAAAGCTTGGTAGTCTCTTCTCACTGAGAGGATTAGGACTGAAATACCACTCTGGCCCTGAGGGCTGGCAGACAGGCCTTTCTCGTGGGCAATGCGCTGACCCTCTCTCCTTCCTTCTACGCTAGAGATTTCGTACATTGCCACCCAGCATCCCCAGCACAAATCAGCGGTGCTTCTCTGCCTGGCAGCGGGCAAGGCTGTTCTTTGCGAAAAACCCATGGGTGTGAATGCAGCAGAGGTTCGGGAGATGGTTGCAGAGGCCCGTTCTCGGGATGTCTTCCTTATGGAGGTAAGCCTGGAGGGCCCTTCTGACATCCATAAAACATCAGCTCCCAGTAGTAAACACGGTTGCCCAAGCTTGCCCACAGTCAAAATGCCACCAGATCAGAATCTCGGTGTGACCAGGATGTAACTGACTCTAGCATCTGCTGAAAGCACAATCCCAAGTCCACTGCTACCCATGTGCAGAGGCCAATGACTAAGGTCAAGTGAGGAAAAGCATTTATTTGGAAAGCAAGAAAACAAAAGACAGGCATTTTACTTAAGGGTTGCTGCTGCAAACTTACCTAGGGAGTTGTAGGGTGGTGTGTCAGGCTGGCCAGCAACTCAAGAGAGTCCCATAGTCACAAGAGCGCAGCTTCCCAGAGGCACACACTGCTGTGCTCATCTTCAGGTTACTGCTTGCTCTCTGAACCCTGAGGAAACTGCAGATAGGAACAGTGACTCAGCCTCTGTAGCTTCTCCTGGGAAAAGTTACATATTGGTACACAAACAGCTTTTTTCTCCTACAGAACAGAGATAGTGAAGAAATACTTTTCCAGAGCTCCATCTCCAACACAGGGGAGGGAACCTTCAAGTCAGTGCAGTTTTTAATTCATTACATGGCTCCAGTTAGAGATGTCATCTATGGCAAAGCTGATGGGAGACTAAAAGTTTGCCACCAAAATGTGTGACTTCCAAGATTAGTGATTAAAAAGGCTTTTATTAGTTATTCATTTAATTTAATATGCCACATGTATACTTGATGCCCACAGAGATTAGAAGACAGTATCAAAAGCCCTGGAACTGAACAGGTTGTGAGCCACTATGTGTCTGGTGGGAAACAAACCTGGGTCCTCTGCAAATGCAACAAGTGCCCTTAACTACTGAGCAATCTCTCCAGCCCTAAAATGAGTGACTGTTTCTACAGTCAACCAAGAGGAGATCAGGTGTTCAATCCAAGTGCTCAGGAGGCAGAGGCAGATTCCTCTGTGAGTTTGAGACCAGCTTTGTCTACATCGCAAATTTCCAGCCAGCTACACAGAGAGACCTTGTCTCAAGAAGAAAGAAAGAAAGAAAGAAAGAAAGAAAGAAAGAAAGAAAGAAAGAGAGAGAGAAAGAAAGAGAGAAAGGAAGGAAGAAAGAAAAAGAGAGAAAGAAAGGAAGGAAGGAAAGAAGAAAGGAAGAAAGGAAAGCAGCACTTGGAGGCTGAGGCAGGTGGATCTCCGTGAGTTCGAGGCCAGCCTGGTCTCCAGAGCAAGTGCCAGGGAGGCTCCAAAGCTACACAGAGAGAAACCCTGTCTCGAAAAACCCAAAAAAAAAAAAAAAAAAGAAAGAAAGGGAGGGAGGGAAGGAAGGAAGGAAGGCCAGACAACCAAGCGATGCTGAGGAGACAATGGGGATGTAGCTCTGTGGACAAAGTATTTGCCGGGCATGCAGGAATCTCTGGGTTCCATCTTCAGGACCACAAGAAGCAGTATGGTGGTTCATTCACCTCAATACTAGGAAGGAGACAGAGGCCCAGCATGGTGGTGAACACTTTTAATCTTACCACTGGGATCTTTGTGATTTCTAAGCCAGCTAGGGTTACAAGATTGTGTCTCAAAATAAAGAAGAAAAAGGAAGGAAGGAAGGAAGGAAGGAAGGAAGGAAGGAAGGAAGGAAAGAAAGAGAGGAAGAGAGGAAGAAAGAGAGAAAGAGGGAGGAAGGAAAGAGTTGTGGGTTTATGGTTGGAATAGAGAGATGGCTCAGAAGTTAAGAACACTGATTGAGCTGGGCGGTTGTGGTCAATGACATTAATCCCAGCACTCGGGAGGCTGAAGCATGTGGATCTCTGTGAGCTTGAGATCATCCTGGTCTACTGAGTTAGTACCAGGACAAGCTCCAAAGCTACAAGAGAAACCTAAACAAACAAACAAACAAAAGCCACTGGTTGTTCTTCCAGAAGACCATGTTCAGGCAGGTATCAGGATTGTTTGCAGTCACCTGTAACTCGTTTCAGGGGATTTTCCGCCCACTTCTGGCCTTTGGTGGCACCTACATACACATACACATGCACATACAAATAAACTTTTAAATAAAGTCAAGGTATCTTCAGCTACATGGAGAGATTGAGGCCAGTCTGAACCACATGAAACCCTTTCTCAGAAGGAAAAAAAAAGACCAACAAAACAAAAAGTCACCCAAAAGTGAAGCCAGCCCGCTTATTCAAGTGTGATGGCTGTCATAACCCTTAGCAAATGTGACAGACTCCCTCAGTGCTGGAATTAAAGGTATACACACCATGCGCACCGATATACCGTTTTTTAAAGGGCTAGAGATGTCATCCCAGTGGCTGGAGGGCTTCCCTAACCAAAGGCTCTGGGTTCAGGCCTACCTGTCCAAGGATGCTTACAGTGGACTGGGCTGTCCATGTCATTAAAAATCAAGACACTCCCCAACAGGCCAATCTCATCTAGGCAGTTCCTCAACTGAGACTCACTTCTGCTTCAGAAGGAGTTCGAAGCTTGCCCGAACTACATATACCCCATCTAAAAACATGAACAAAATCAAATATAAGACAGGCAGTTGGAAAAGGAAAGCTGGGGTGACAGCCCCAGAGGGGAGGTCAAAGCAGGACCTTATGTTGGGGGCTATGGGCTGTGGAAGGATAGAGGTATGTTTTGGGTAGAGGGAGCAATGGATAACCCTCAAGGCTAGGACCCTGAGGGAGGTGTGGCTGATTACCTTCTGAGTAATAATGCCTCTATTTCCTTGGGCTTCCCCTCTCTGGTGTGCAGGGCATCTGGAGCCGGTTTTTTCCCGCCATGGAGGCTTTGCGGGAAGTTTTGGCCCAAGGAACTATTGGGGACGTACAAGTGGCTGGGGTGGAAATGGGGATGAATATAACTATTTT